AGGAGTTTTCTGCTAGAATTTTTGGCATCTCTTAGATATATAATATCATGTGCAAAAGGGGATAATTTTATCTCTTCTTTTCCAATTATTACTCCTTTAATTTCCTGCTCTTGTCTTATTGCTCTTGCAAGAGTTTCAAGCAGTATGTTAAAGAGAAGTGGAGATAGTGGACAGCCTTGTCTGGTTCCTGATTTCAGTGGGAATACTTCCACTTTTTCTCCATTTAGAATCAAGTTGGCTGTGGGTTTGTTATATATGGCTTTAATTATGTTGAGGCATTGGGGAACCCTGCTGTTAGGGTTGGCTCCTTTCTCAGCAGGGGCTTCCTGCCTGACTTACCTGGAAAGTGCCTCCAAGCACAGATGCTTGGCCTCATTTGAAACATGACCTTTGGCATAGTTACCTGCAATAAAACTACCCCCAGGTTTTTTCTATATGATAATAATAGATGATAGGATCCCCTGCCACATGTAAATAAAGTATACTATGAGCACCTATCAGCTGAAGCATTGGCTACTGCCTCCACACTACATTTTCCCTAACCCCCAATGAATAAATGGAGCTATTTCACTGAGTCTGGAGCTGTTTTTATCACTGAACCTGCCTCCCCGGAAGGGCTTTCTTCCATCAGTGCTCAGTGGCCGTCCCTGACCCCATTCGTCGCTTCTGCTCCCTTTGTCCTCGTGGACTGGTGGCCAATGACCCATGAGGGGAGGGAGAGACCCCACATTGGGGTATGTTCCCTCCAGTCCAATTCTCTCTCAGACTTTGAACATAAATGCATGTTGAATTTTGTCAAAGGCCTTCTCTGTAGCTCTTGAGATGACCATGTGGTTCTTGTCTTTGAGCCCATTTATATGATATATGACATTTATTGACTTATGTATATCAAACAATCCCTGCATCTCTGGGATAAAGCTGACTTGATCTTGGTGGATGATCTTTTTGATGTGTGTCGGTATGCGGTTTGCCAATATCTTGTTAAGAATTTTTGCATCCATATTCATTAAGGATATGTGTCTATAGTTTTCTTTTTTGGTTGTATCTTTACCTGGCTTTGGTATTAGAG